GCTCCAACAAGCCGTTTAGGACAGAGAGTGAATACACATACTATACAGAGATGCTATATGAAAAACCAATGTGAGTTTGGAAAATTGAACAATGTAAATCTATTCTAGTAGACGTCAACAATGGAATTAGGATCAGCAGAAATGGCCATGTCATGGGACCTTTAAATCTTTGTCACCTCTTATTGCTGTGCACTGAAAGAAATGAAAAACAACCCTAATTTTCTTCCTCCCTCTTCTCCCCCCCAGGGTACCGGGCGTCTCCCCACCAGTGAGTCCTCTCCCGCCACAGGTTACCTGTCCTGCGCCCAGAAGCCTGAAGCAGTGGTCCATGCCATGAAGGTACATACATAACATTTTAGGGTGATTGTTGCTAGGATTTTTCTTTTTTCACCATCACCATCCCACTAGTCGAAAGCCCTGTTCCATGTTGATTTCAGCCCCACTTATTGCTGTGTAATATCATTTTGTTTATTGGAAAATGAACACTTTTACATCCCATGCTACATTGAATAAAATGTAGCTTTTTTGCTTATCTTCTTAGTGAAAGAAGACATCTGTTTACTTTCACACAACTTATTCAGTATCAGCTTTGTCACATGACTAATGACTAATCTGTCATTTCTCCACCAGGTGCTGGAGGTCCACGAGAACTTGGACAAGCAGGTCCCCGAGGACTACGAGGACGACCTCAGTGAGAAAGAGAAGGCCATTGTGCGAGAGATGTGCAACGTAAGTGCAACACTTCACAATGTTCCAGCTCTTTCTGTGCCTCTGTCCCTCAGTTACACAGTTCTCCTCTGCTGGGTGCAAATCAGGTCAGGTTTTGAGCTGCTTTCACTAATGAGGGAGCCTCGTGTGGACTCATTTGGTTTGGAATGACATGCAGCAGTGTCCTGGGCACTCTTGCTTTTCTTTCTATCTATCTCTCCATCTCCCCCCCCCTCCCTCCATCACCCCTGCTCCGAAGCCAACTCTTAACTGGAAGCCGTGAGTAAAGGCTCGTCGTTGAGCTGTCAGAGCAATTAAACTGGAGCGGCGGGGGGAAAAAATAACTCCCCCCTCCATTCTTCCTCTCTTCATCTCCCTCCATCTTTCTCTATGGGTGCTGAAAGGCCCGACCCGGGATAAAAAAGGTCCGCTGATTAGAGAGAAAGGCTATCTGGGCCCTGCAGAGGTATGTGACAGGCCAGGAATCTGGGGTGCATTACAATAGTACCTCTGTAATATCAGTAGGGTCCCCCGGGGGGCCCCCACTCACTGGCAGAGAGATCTCACAGAGATAGAGGACAGAGATACTGAAATATGTGTGTGTGTGCAGCTCAAAGTCAAACTGCGAGCATTTGAAGAGTTCACTCTAGAGAAAGACAGTCCTTTTTTTTTTTTTTCCTAGCCTTACTCTTTCAGTGTCTGTTTCTCCCACTCTTCCTCTCTCAACGTCTCCCTCCTCTTCGTGTTGCAGGTGGTGTGGAGAAAGCTGGGTGATGCAGCAGGATCAAAGCTGTCCATCAGACAGCACCTCTCTGGGAACCAGTTCAAAGGGCCGCTGTAGCATGGCAACAGAAAGAGAGAGAGAGATTTACAGTACTCACCTGAAAACACCTGCGCCTACACAACCCATCATGCCGTGCTCCCCTACTGCCTACAGAACCCAGCATTCCTCCGACAGACGCTCTCTATTGACTGGCTCAGATAGCTACCTGTTAGCATGTTATCCACATGCACAACTGTCTTTATCTCAGAGCTTATTAAGCGTCTGCAGCTAGTTTCACCGATTTTCTTCGTTGATTTGAAGGCCACACAACGATCTCTCTCTGAAGAACGAAACAATTGTGTTGATGGCTTTTACAGAGCATAGCTGTGGTACATTAAGCTAACGATAAGACATGGTTTCAAGCACAGACAAAAAAGTGTCTAGCCATGGATGTGAAGGCAACACGATTGCGGTATCTTCAGATACATTTTGATAGTACCTCCTTTAGCGACCCCCTAGCTCCTGTCACATGTATTGCCCCCCCCCCCCTAGTGGTCAATGAGTATAACTAGCATTAGCATTCTAAAGTGTTAACTAATGTGAAACCCACTGTGACCTAGCGCCTTGTGCTCATAAGACAAGTCTATGGATAATAACGTCTAGAGATCACTGTTAACTTGTGTATTATATGTATAAAACCATAGCACTACTTTCATTGTTATTGTTGATTTTACTTTTATCTTTTTTTGTATTCTAGCGTGGCCATGTGATCAATAATTTTAGTTGGAAAAGCATACACAACCAGACCTTTTAAACAGGGTTTTCTTTTGGTAAAAAAACAACAACTCCTCTTTTAACTTCTTCTTTTAGTTCTTCTCCAGATGTATTGCTGTAATTCCGTCTCTCTGTATTGGAAATGTATCAAGGCCATTCTGAATCAGACCATCCCCTCGGGCTAATTTTTTTTAACTTTGTAAAAATGAACTAAAACTGTATGCTGTTTGCATGCTCGACAATCATTTTCTCAGGTTGGGAGGGCTACAGCTTTGTGTGTGTGTGTGTGTGTGTGTGTGTGTGTGTGTGTGTGTGTGTGTGTGTGTGTGTGTGTGTGTGTGTGTGTGTGTGTGTGTGTGTGTGTGTGAGAGAGAGAGAGAAAGAGGAGACTGAATGCTTCTCTTGCAGCTGTAGCATCTGCCTGTGTATCCTCTTCTTCTCTATTGAACCCTGGTTACAACTCGGTTGAAGACTGCTGAAGGCATTTGCTGAATCCATAGCCTTGTCCCATTATTAAAAAATGTCAAGGCCAAATATTAAACCCTAAGTTTAGTTTGGACGGCATTATTGGAATGCTCCTAATTACTTGTTTATTATTTTATATCTCAGTAGATGAAAGAAAACGTTTTCTTGAGCTCAGTCCTTTTCTGTGGATTCAGCAGGTGTGTTTATGCGGCGCATGTTTCTTAAAATCTTTTTTTATTAGAATATGAGATAAGTCTTCCCTTAGATGTCTCCTGAAAAAAAAACTAGTATTTCTTGATGTCATAATGAACAAACGCTGTTTATCAAAGTATTTATTGCAAGGTGTCAGATAGAGATGGGAGAGCAATCAATAACTGAACAGTCATATTTTAAATGTATCAGATTTACTCAAAGTTATTTGATAGATACATTTAGTGACTGCCAGGTCGGGCTCTCCCATCTCTAGTGTTATTTGTTCCAAATTAGAACATTTTGAGGCTGTCCGCCATGCTCCTCTCAAGCAACGGGGTCTAAAATAAATCAAAGTATGGTTTTTTAAAAGTGTCCTTTTTTCTAGGAGCTGATTTAAAGCCATGATGCAATTTTGAATACTTTATTAATGGCATTTGACTTGAAATGTGCCACATTTTGTCCTGCATGGTATTTTGATTTGGAACCCAACTGTATTTTTTTTAAACATCTATAGTGTTTCTGCCTATATGCTAAAACCACAGTACAGAATCCTAGAATCTACAGAGTAAATGTTGATTCCTGTAGTAACTAGCATGGCTGTAACTTCTTTTTATGAATTTCACTGATGAGATGAATATTTGGCAGGTGAAAGGAAGACATGAAATAGGCCACTTTTAGAAAAATTTGGGAGAAAATAAACGAAGTTGGTTAAAGAAACTGTGAAGTGCTGTCTTTCTTTGATGAAGCGTGTGTTCTTAGACTGCCCTCTGCTGGTTCAGTACTGTAAGTGAAACTGCTGCAGCATACGTTACTCACCTTTTCTGAAATGTTCGACTATACTATGACATGTTTACTCTTGAACTTTTTGACATAATGTAAATTGTTCTGATAATTTCGACATACTATAATATGCCTCGTTTTTTATATAGCCTACAATGTCATTTTTTAAAATCATATTTTCGACATACAATATTGTCGTTTATCATATTTTGTTTACCATGCTGTCATTAGACATATTTTCGACATACTATACCATGTCTTTTTTTCTGATCTTTTCAACGTATGCTAGGTGTTTTCTTCTCACATGCATTACATACCATACCTTGTCGTGTTTTCTCATATTTCGACATACTATACTATGTTGTTTTTTCAGATATTTTCAGTAAAAGTTGAGTTAGCTAATACTTATGGTAAAACTAGCTAAAATGTAGCTTAAAGTAATATATATTTGGCTGCATATTCGTTTTATGAAAAATGTTCTAAACTATATCCACTCTACAATTAGCTTTCATATCTTCAGCTACTTTCAGTTTATGGACTACATATAACAGTGGTGCAGATTAAGGGGTATTTGAGCTCAACTGACAATGTAGCAATACAATACATGCAGTACATAATACACATCCAGTTACAATTTAATGATCCATACATTTTGAACTAATACAGATTGAAAACACACTACTCAGGTCTAAGTAGGAAAGCAGGTCTTTATTTTCGTAAGTGCCACTTAGACAAAACAAAGCTGCGTGCAGGATACAGAAAAGAGAAGCCTGACTAAGGCACATATGGATTGGAACTCTAAAAGAAAATGTATATGTACAAATATAACTTTGACTGTCCAGTGTTAGACATGATTAGTTAGATGACTGTTGTATTTATTTCATGTAGTACTGTCTGCAGTGCAGATTCATAACAAAAATAGACAGGAAATGAGTTGCAGTGGCATAAATTGACATGAAAGTGTTTTCACAGAAATGTAGTATGACAATAGAGCGTTTGAATATTGATGAACGTGTCAGTCCTCTTTATTTACCTACTGCATGTACAGCCTTCTCAAGTTTTGTCTCAGCAAAACAGTAGGAATGTTGAGTAAAACAAAAACAGATTGCTGCAAAATAGACACTTTAATGACTGGAAATTTGGAGAACCAAAATCAGGGTGATACAATAAAGACGCAAATATAAGACCTTTGATCTACGCAAAAAGTAAAAACTGTACATTTCATCACTCCACCATTATTGAATGAGCATGTCTGACAAAACTAAACTCAGGGTGCTAATATTCCAGTACAATAACATGTGTGAACAGTTTTCATTACAAGCTCCTGGAACTAGGCCTCACTTTTCCTTTTCAGTGTATTTGTTATTAAGCCTTCATTAAGAACAACAAAAGTCGTACAGAAAGCGGTCAGGCTCTCCCTCTCTGTGTCCCTGCTGCGTAACACAAATTCCCGTTGTTAAAATCTCCAGCTGTGGCTCTTCACAGATTCAGTTCATGGACCGTGTTTCACTCTCATCTCATCCACCCACCGTGATGAGGGGGCATGGGCACCTGAGACTGTCCTGGGGGTGGAGGGTAGCCACCAGGAGGGAGACCTATAACCTGAGGGGGAACGTGGCCTGGAGGCATGCGTGGAGGCGGGTAGCTGTTGTAGCCTGGCGGCGGGTAAGCCGGCGCCAAGTTGGGCGGCGGGTAGTTGGAGGGAGGAAGGCCTGGAGGTGGTGCGGCAGGATAGACGTGATACGGTGGTATGGGGGGAGCATAGTTGGGAGGCATCTGGGGGTAGGAGGGGCCTTCCGTCTTCATCATGGACTGCAGGCTCTGGTAGCCTTCTCCGGACATGTAGGAGCTGGTGGTGGACATGATGTAGTTGGAGGGCGGAGGTGGAGGAGGGCGGTGGGGTAATGGAGGGGGCTTGTGTGGAGGTGGAGCGTGCGGGAGAGGAGGAGCGACTTCGTTTATTGGTTCTGCTTCCGTGGGAGGGGCTGGAAGCGGGGCTTTGCGATCTAAGTGAGTGGACAAGGAGAAAACAACTTCAAAGTTTGGCATCTTTTCTGTAAAAAAAACACTGCTACTTATTCCAAAATGTTCCAAAATAACCTTTCCTTTCCCAGACTGCCACACGAGAGGTCTCATTACTGGGCTCAAGCACTAATCAGATTGGCCTGGGATTGGGCTGAGGCTAGGAGTATGCGTGTGTTGGGAAACAGAGTGGCTGGTTATGCAAGCAGACTGAAAAGACTAAAATCTTTAAAAAGGGGTTGCTTTCTAAGCTGGGGGCCCAGGCAGGGGGTCCCAGCTGCTCATTAAGGCTCTATGATGGGACACGCAAACAGACAGCGGGGTGTTGGGAAGAGGCCAGCACGTACACTATGGTGCTGAGCCTATATTTGCATACTTCTGTGCTTACATTGGCTATTTTGAGGGCATAAGTGTGTCTAAATGCAAGGTATAGCAAAATGCAGAAAACTGAGGGTGGAACGCTGGACAACCTTATATGATTTCAGACAGCGCTGTGTTCGAAGGGAAGTATCCCAAATGAGACACAGGATAACCAACCCAAAACACTCCAAATTCCTCCATAACTAGACCTACAATAGGAAGATAAGCATTACTTTACCTGGAGGAGGCTGCGATGTAGGCAGAGGGGGCATGGGGCTCTCCAGTCGAGGAATCTTTGATCCAACTTGTTCTGTGAATTAAAAGATACCCGTTAAAAACATGTTAAACTTTAGTGATTTCATAGGAAACTCTGTTGCAGGCTTCACTATTAATAAATCCTTAAAAAAAATACTAATCCTGGCATTTGGAATCAACAGCATGCATCTGTTATGTTGCCATTTTTTTAATCTTAATTGAAGTCAGGTGAATTAGCAAACCTAGATTGAAGGATTTTAGTGAATAAACACATGAGAAGGATTCAGCCTGGCTGAGGTTTAACAAGTCTTACCTGGAGGCTTTGGTTCATCTTTTGGAGATGTCTGAAAACACAAAAACATTAAAAACATGAATGCAAATACTCAGTGACCACTTGGGAATGTACAATTTTTTTTTTAACATTAAGCTATTAGATATTTTATGATGCTAGCAAGCACATTTTTGTAACTGTATGCAGTGATTCTTCAAAATACATTCAGTGATAAAATTAGTATTTGTTCATAACCCGAAACCCTCTTTAATGGTCACACATGCAGAGCACAAAGCACACGCAGTGAAATGTGTTCTCTGCTTTTTACCCATCCTAGTACCAGGGGCAGTGGGCAGCTATTCTACAGTGCTTGGGGAGCAATGGTGAGGGGGGGGGGTTGTCCGGGCACCACGGCAGGGTCCAGGAGGTGAACTGGGACCTCTCCAAGTAGCAGTCCACACTCCATATCTAAAGTCTGTACGGGGACTTGAACCAGGGACCCTAGGGCTCCCGTTGAATTAATAAAAAACTGTCTTTCAAAATGGCAATTATTATTTGTCTACGTCTTGATGGAGTGCCAAGTGAATGTCAATAAATTATATGATCTTTTATTTTGTAATGACTTGAAGTATTTAACTATAAAATGGTAAGAGATGTAAGAGAATTGCAGCATTGTAATGTCCTTAATATTAGGTAAAGCACTAGGTTACATTTTGAGGTAGGTTTTGTTGAATGTAAATGTTTGAATAAAGTTTAACAAGAGCAAATAAACATATACAAAAATCTAAATCAGGGGACTTGCCATTGGCCTTTGTCTTGAGAAATGCAATTGGAGCGTATACTCACATGTGAGCGTTTAAGCTGGCGTGCGGGGCTGCCTCCCGGAGGAGAAGTCTTCTTTGGTGGTGGTGGGGGGGGAGGGACGGGGGCTGGTGGCAGTCCCTGTGGGATTGGAGGGATCTGGGGAGCGGCTGCCCTCTCCTTCTCCTGGATGGGCTGAGGGATGGGCTTGTTTCCCTGGGAGTACAGATCCAGGATCTGGTGGCAAATGTCTGGGAAGACAAGGACGTTTTTTGGTTGAGACAATTCTGCAAAAGGATGAAGCTGAATATCGCAGGAGATGCAGGAAGTGTCATGATGAATACCTTCAAGCAGCTCCACAGGGACGTCCTGCACAAACATTTCCCACCATCGCCGTGACGACTGCTTGGCGGTCCACTCCTGGATGTCGAACTTACAGAGGCGCCCCGCCAGGTACATGACAGCCACCGCGATGATCTCTGGTTCCCACTGCAGGGACAGCATGGTGCACAGGCTGCCAGGGACACAAGGGATACTGTTCAGTCTTCTCTCCTCACAATACAAGACATCACCCTGTTTTCTCATTCTATATTCCTTGTGTCTTTAAAACAGATAACAGGGCCTTAAATGACCATTCGTTTACAAAAGATCAGATAGGCCGACCCTTGATGCTGCTGCTGCTGCATGGTCATTTATAGTAAGTGTAAGACGAGAATCTTCCAGTTATATCAGACTGTATCTAAAGAATAAATAGTAACCCAAAGCGAAGATGAAATGCAAGTTGCGAAGCTGGTCAGTCTAACAGAGCAGTGATGTCAAGACATTTCTCTAGGGAGAAGACACTATGTGGACACAGGTCCTAATACAAAGAGAGGTTCCATGCCAACGGCTCACCTGTCGTTGACAAAGGTCCATGCCATTTGAAGCACCTTGCACACCTTATTCTTGTCCCCTTTAACAAGAAGAAAGAGACATATCAGTTTTCCAAATGTCTAAATGTAATAATGTATTACTCTCCGTGGATCATTCTTTTTCTATGTCACCTTTGAGTTGCTTGACGTAGCGCAGCAGGAACATGTAAGGGTGCTCGACCTGCAGGTCAAATTTGATCGTCTGGAGCAGAATTCTCTCCAGCACCATCACCTCTTCCTGTTGAAACAAACACAAACTACTTTAAATATCCTGAATGGTAAAAACACAACAGGCTCAAGCAGGGGGGCTAATGGCT